TGAAGTTATTTTGTCCTTACTTTGTAAGGCGATTTTGTTTACTCGTAAAGCGACTCAATTGTTGTCCTTCCACCCTGCCTGCTGCTCTTGACGGTCAAGGGGAACTAACCAAAGATTTTGTCTAGACCTACACGATATCTTGATCTAGGATCATGTAGATTTATTGTTATAAATCCAAATGGAACAGATTGTGCATTAGAAAAAAAATTTTTTAAATTTAATCATGTCCATATCCCCTGAACACCAAGTATAATAAATATTTTGTAAGGTATAATTTTATACTCCATTAAACACAACCAAAATATTACAGTTATCTCTAATCACTTTATGTATCTGTGTGTATCTCTGAGTAACATAAATCACGTCTGTGTTCTTATGTCTACCTGGAGAAAATATTCTAGCTGGATTAGATTGTTTGTCCAACAGCACATCATCATATACTACGAGATTTTTAATGAATCCATCTAAGTCATCTACAGATGTGGCTTCATCTATATCTGTGATAAAGTCAATAATATCGTCACCGTCTTTATTTTGCTTTTTCATTAAAATCCTTAAGTACTTCGTAACAATGCTGATCATCTACAGACGGTGCTATTAAATATAGTTTGCTCCATCTCAACCACCTAATTATTAAATTTAATAATAATTGTGTTTTACCTGATCCAGATGGACCTATTATAATCATTCTTATCGAATTTGGTAATGCTGGATGGTGCTTTACTGGTTCCTGTTTTCGTGTAATATAATCATATTTCCTGACTGTGTCAGGGATCCACTTTCACTATCACTGTTCTCAGCTTCGCTATCATTTATTACAGAATCATATAATATAATCCGTTTAAGTTGAGTCACATGGCTATCTATCATTTTCTTTCTTTCGCACTCGTGAGATAATGCGCTTTTTATTTTTTCGATTGAACGCATAAGAGGCGAGAATAATCTTACCTGTTTGTCATTTACGACAGCTAAGGATTCTAATATAGAATTATATATCGACTTTATAAATCTGTAATTGGAATTTAACGTAAACTTATTTTGAAATTTTCTCTCCTGTAATAATTCAAAGTCATATATGATTTTTTCAGGGTCAAGGTTACCGGGATATTGACTCCTTCATACTTTAATTTTTTAATAGCAGAAATAATATCAATTATATTTTCACTGTTCATTATATATATATATATATATATATATATATATTTATATATATATATATATATATATATATATATATATATCAGAGCATGTTCAAGAGGTTACATTAAACGATTGTATGAACATGAAATATATACAGACGAACAGGTGGTGTTGATATACTTATCTCTAAGACCTTAATTCTAAGGACGGCACACTGACCTCATTTGAACTCCTCGGTTGTCCTATGACATTCGCGTAAGTCCAGAGGTCACATTAAGAGATGTATGAGCATGAAATATATACAGATGAACATGATATTGATTTTGATTTGGACGGATTTTGATGTGGACGGCACAAACCCCATGTTTTCCTTTAAGATGTTCAATAATATCGTTTTAGGATCAGAGGTTACAGATAACGATGTATGAGCATGAATATATATATATATATATATATATATATATATATATATATATATATATATATATATATATATATATATATATATATATATATATATATACAGATGAGTATGATTTTTTTATTTTGATTTGGACGGATTTTGATGTGGACGACACAAACATAAACTTATTCTAACTTATCCTAACGGGAAAACCTACATCCATCAGATTTAAATACACTCACCCACAATATACCCTGTGAGTGATACAAAAATGATCCACCACTTGGTATATGTGGTGGGTGATTGTATTTGATCGAAATGGACTTCGTCCCCACTTAAAAACACAAATTAGCATAATATCGCCAAATCGTCGCCATCCTGGGCTCTCACAATGATTTTAACTTACGCAGTGTTTCACCTAAGTACCACAGCCACACAACTACTCCACTACACTATCGTCTTGTCTTACATACTTCTGATCAATTAGTTAATATATAGGTAACTTAAACATACCATAGTAGCCGTGATGGAACATTTGAACAGCTTGCAGGGTGGAAGGACAACAATTGAGTCCTTTTACGAGTAAACAAAATCGCCGTACAAGGTAAGGGCAAAATAACTTCAATAATAGTATAACAAAAATAAGCTAACCTGACAAAGTCAGGTGTATGGAAATATAATTGGTTAGAGACTTTGGTTTAGTGCTATTGACTTTTTTTCAGCCTCTGTAGGAACCTTTATTTTTCGTTAAGGATTCGAGCAAAAATTTGTAGGATTCACCCTGCTTGCTGCTGTATTGTTTGGAAAAAAAGACATTTTAGTAGAAGGTAGCGTTAATCAGTCTGGCTTTGAATCATAGCTATATTAACCAATTTCACAAGTGTATGGTCCACTCAGGTCCATTTCTTTATAAATGACACAAAGGATATGTATTATTATCGAATCTGTAAATACATATATACTGGGTGTTTGATTCTTGTCAACTAAAGTCAAATGAAGAGATATGATCATCCGCCATGCTACAAAACCATATAATCAATAATATCACGCATTAAATGCTGAAAAAATGAATAGCTAAAAAGGATAAAATGAATGATAACACTTCACACTTGTATTGATCGTTTGCTATGAGCCCTTTTGCGCCATACGAATCATCATCACCTAAGTGATTCGTGTTGTAAACTTTGCCGTGAGTAACTACATTATATAGATCCCATGTGGTCAATATATATTGGTTTCATTTGTCAAAACAATGAACATTTCCTAGTCGTTAATGGACCGAAATCATCAAATGCATTCATTTAAGATGATGAAAAATAAATGTTAACTTTGCCAAAATTTTTAATAATTGAAGTTACTGAGTGTACAATGAACTTGAATTGGTACTGTTATCATATCATTTTGTCGTATACAGGGATAGCGCTGTGACGTTTCCTAATCATTCTTGAAAGCCTAATATGCTTTCAAAGTGATTCCAATCTAACCATTCTTAAATAACTCATAAATGTGCTTAACGGCTTAGTTGGCCATTTTTTCTTATTTGATAGACTCTTTTAAACACGTTTTGTTAGCAAGAAATAATATATAGAAATAATATACAGGGGTTCAGCAGAGGCCCAAAGGGATGCATTCGTGATTGTAGTCACACAGAACGATAGGGATTTGAAAAATGTCATTTTGTTTTAACAGTAAATAATTGTGTTTAAATTGTCAATCCTCTTACGAAATTCACTGAGTGTACAATGCCTCTGCACCAATTTCCACCCAAAGCAATTTGTATACATATTCGAACAACTATAGCTTTTACCGTGAACACGCGTAAACACCAGTGTGACGAAGATTAATATCCCCAAAAGATTGTATCACGCAAACAAAAGAAGACAAAGTATGTACCTATGGAGTTTGATCGATCAAAAAGTTCGAGCAAGGGGAAATAGCAGATATAATAAATATAACTGAGTCAAACTCTCTAACCTGTGCCAAATGGTTACGAGTAAGTTGATATGACAGATAAACGGATATCATAAAAAAAAGTGTTAGCCAATTTTGTAATTGGAGTCAAGTCATTAAGTTGTAAATTTTCCTACTTTCATGACCATTTAGAAATTTTGTGTCAAAGCATTTCCGAGAAAATGTGTCAACATAAAGTCGCAGTAACTTCTTGATATTTTATAGTCATGGCAGTATTTGAAATAAGTTTTACTGGTCTACCAAAAGGATAAAATTCGAGAGATCAATACAGAATTATCGAAAAAGGCAGGCAATTAATGCATATTAGAATCAGAAATTTTTCTCACGCAGATATGATGGAAAACTGTCTTAGCAGCAAATTCAGATTAGAAAGTTTTGTGTGGTGTTTTAATTAAATTTGGTCTTGTGTCAATCTGAAAAGGAAAAGTTGTATAGCATTAAGATGAAGATAGTGAGATTATAGAATGCTTGTGGCGATTTTGTTGTTTCGTTTTGATTTTCTTGTTACGTAGTTTATGCTCCTGGGACATAATGATTTATCTTTGTAGTAGTGGTTTAGAATCAATTATTTTCATTTTTTAATTTTATTTCAATTTGATCATAGTTTAAGAGGTTATTTTTCGTTGTCGATATCAAATAAAAGACCCTTGTTTCACCATAAGCGCTTGAATATATTCTGTCTTCATTCCCTTTGTTATGATCGCCGCTATCATGTCGCGAGTTTAGAGACTCCTCCTTCAAAATATATGAATTGTGTTCCTTCTGTTACGTCTTAACTTTCCCTTCGCACGTGGCTGCCACGTGATTGCGAATTTTTTTATAAGAAACTAGTTTTTTCTTAATACTTACGGAAAGATCCTTTTGAATTTCCACTCGATAATATTTCCATTTTGTTCTTTTTTTTCCCGTTTTATTTTAGCTGAGTTGGGATGGCCTCACAGCTGGGTTGTAGAGCGATACTTTAATTCTTTCCACCCTTGCTCTCACTAGTTTCCTTTGGCGGAATTATATAGTGTTGTATATTGAAATCCTTTGGACTACAATAGGAATGTGACTTCCTACTCAATAAATTCTAGAGTAGCGACAAATTTAGCGATATTGAAGAATGTTGTCCATGTACTGAAGTTAATGATGTGAAAAGGGTATTTTTGTCTTAAACTACGTTACAGAAAATGGACAAAACCAAAATATTTGGTAAAATTAAACAAATAAATTATTTCCCAAGAATATAAAGTGAAGATTTAACAGGAATTTACAGTAATGCGAATTAAATCTCAAATAGTCGCAAAGAATTTATCACAGGTCCAAATGTATAAAGGTCAAACTGAATTCCGGTAGTATTCCAAATAATTTCAACACAGAATGTGTTCAAGTCCCTGTAGTCTCGAACGTATGAACGTGACAATGGCCTAAAGTGTTATGATTTACCAACAGTCTTTTGATATAACAATAATATAATCAAAAAAAAATGTTCTTGTCTGAATTCGACCGCTCCGGTGGCCTAATGGTTAGAGCATCTGCCTCGGATGCGGAAGGTCACGGGTTAATACCCCGACCTAGTCTTACCAAAGACTAATAAAAATTGTGCTAGCAGCTGTTTCGCTTGGAACTCAGCATTAAAAGGTTAGTGATAGAACTGGCCGGCCTGGTATCAGGATAATGTGATTGGATGGGACATCATGCCACATGTGTGCAGCATGATTTCCCAGTGCTATACATCACTGTATGCTGTCACATTGAAGGCATCGTAGCAATATGACTGACAAACTGTTAAAGCTACGTTAAAAATCCAACACACACACACACACACACACACACACACATACACACACACTCTATTGTATGAATTCATTATAGTTCCAAATTTATGTTTTAGCCCCAGAATATTATAAATGAGAAATTTGCATTTCCAATGAATAATAATTTCAATAAATAATTTCGCCTAAATAAAGTGTTGAACACAACAATAATATTGATTATACCTTAGATGTTAAATGATAAAATGTGTTATTTTTAAAGAAAATAAAACTATATAATAAAACTAAGTAATGAAAGTAGAACCAGGATGATGGTCAAAAGTTCATTTACAAAATATTCTGAGTCGTCTACAAGATAAGGTCTTTTACTAAAATTATATAAAAAGAATGTGGAAAATATTCATTACAATATATTCTTCGGGGGATGGGGTTCTAGTGTCCTAGACCCAGACATAGTATTTAATCTACAGGCATAGAGAAATATTAATATGTAGTGGTTGTTTACAAACTTAAAAATTTACTGGTCAGGTACATATTGAACTTGATTCTGGACAAAGTCAAATCCAAAATACAATTATACATAGCATACAATCATGAAGAAAAAACAAATACAAATTAAATATGCATAGCATATAATTGTGAAGAAAAAACAAACAAATATAAATTATTATGCATAGCATATCATCATGGAGAAAAAGCAGACAAATACAAATTAAATATACATAGCATATAATTATCGAGAAAACAAAACTATACATAGCTTATACAGAGAAAATGCAAGCAAATAAAAATTGTTATAAAGAGAATTATTAAGATTACCTGTTTCGAATTCTGAAAGGGAACAAATAACTTTTAACTTTAATTAAAAATTAAAAGAAATTTTTACATATTTTTCATTTTTGTCAATGTTTATCTTTAAACCTCAGTCCTCTTTAGCTTTATATATATATATATATTTTTCTTAATTGCTGCGTTCTTATAAATTCGTTTGTAGTGCAATTTGTGACAGAATCATGAAGTTTCAACCTTCCATTTTTTTTTAACCAAACCAGTCTGATTGATTTTCAACCTTTTCTCTTTTCGGAACCAACCCAGTCTGGTTGCATCATTCTCGGACATTTTTTGCATTTCAATGGACCATGCGGAGTTTAGAATACAAGAGAAAATGCTGTTCAACGTTGACACCGAGGTCTGAATTTAGGTTGACAGTAACTTAAAGCATATTTGAAGTCATTCCAAATGTTTTCAGCCAGATGTTTATAAGATATATACTTTATAGAGGCGTGGGCCTTTTCTACTACTTTTCAGAATTTGTTTCGTTTGGTACATCTTGGATAGTGGTCACTAGCAGAATAAGATAAGTTGGGATGAATGTCTCGACTATATTTCGGAGTGAGAAAAATAAATTCTACTGAACAGAAGTGATTGTGTTTAGGTCAACAATCAAACCTAATATGAAGTAGATTGTAAAGAAGCAAAACAATGCACACATGATGCACTTAGAAACTTCAGAAATAATTCGACAGACACCTTGGCTTTATACAAGCACCATAGAAATATATATGACAACATAACTTAGCATAAAGACAATTAATACCAAACAAAGCGAAAGGCTTGTCTAAAAATAATTTCAAAGATTCTGAATACTTCTTGAGACTTTCAAAATGTCTAAATGGATTTGCATCATAATTAGTTTTCCTATACTGTCTCTACTTCCATTTTCTGAATATTCTACACTGTCTAAATCCTGAATATCCTACACTGTCTAAATCCTGAATATTCTACACTGTCTAAATCTTGAATATTCTACACTGTCTAAATCCTAACAAAGCATATATTATCAATCTATTAACCTAAACTAAGTTGGAAGATAAACTCACGATGAAGTTCGTGTCACACGTAACGAAGCATGTTCATGGAGAGGCTAGACTGTAAACAAAGCAATGTAAATTGGGTCATATGTTTTACTTTTCAATTAGCAACAATGCCTCATTCTAATCGAGCACTTGCACCAAAATACATACATACAACCAAACCACAAGGCTCATATTCTACTAAATAAATAATTACCTTTAAATTAATACCAAGTATGCTTCAGTCTAAAACATGTGTCACAACCATAATGAGATTGGAAAATTATCTTAAGAAAGACTGGAACTACACTGATCCAGAAGTAATGACTGACTTGAATCTAAAAAAAAAAAACAACTATTATGACCCTACGGTAAATGGCAAAAAACAACAAAATTCAACAATTAATTAATTTAATTATAATACAAAGTGAAAATTTAAAACAAAAAAAATATACCAATGTAAATTAAATTCTAAAGTTCTATTACAATTCCAAATGTATACGTTCCAATTGGATTCCAGTGGTATTCCCAAAATATTTCAAAAACAAATGTGCTGATGTGTCTGTAATCTCCAATACGTTAATGTGCTAATGCCCTGGAATGTGTGAATGTGTTAGCAATCTTTGCATTACAATAATGTGTTCCAAAATGTCCTTGTCTGAATTCACCAAAATTCCATATTAGTGTTATAGTCCAAGAATATAATGAGTACTTTGTACTTCTAGTGAATAATTATTTGAATAAATACATTTACCAAATGAAAAACTGAACATAAAAATAAGACTGATTCTGCTTCAGATGTTAAGGCACAAGTAACCTTTTACGTAAACATCATTTAAAAAACTAAGATACAATAATATTGCCAGGTTGTAGGTGAGTCTTTGCTATAAAACATTCAAAGTTGTTAACAAGTTTAGAAATTTTCAAATGAAAATATGCTGTCCTTAATCAAAGCCAAAATAATCATACTTACCTCCATTGATGATTTAATATTTAGATCACACTTATAGAGAAATATTAACTATGTATCATGTTGATTGCAAAATAAATATGACTGGTAAAGTACACCATGGCATTAATTTGGAGAAAATCAAGTACCATATACAAAAATCAAGTACCATATACAGATGCACATCAAGTATAAGCATTAAGAAAAGCCAACAAAATCTACAAATTAAATATACATAATAATGTGTTTTAATTAATAACACATTACAAAATTATCATCATATAGGGATATTACTAATTTTGCTCTTGAAAAAATGAACATATAAAAGTCTGCCCTGGGGTATGTTAATCTCTTACTTGTAAATGATGTTGAAATTGCAGATTCCAAACCTGTAAAACAGCATATTCAGAGGAATCGTTTAAGCAGGAAAGCTTGACAGAAATTTAATGTCTACGAATGATTTTATTGAACCAAGGAAAAGTAACTGGAGTTCAATATGTATTATTGTGCCAAAACTAGATACTTCTTGCCTTATATGTCCTGAGTAATGAAAAGTGAACATTGTCAAGAAAGCAGACCCATTTTCCAAGAACTGATTAAGAATTGACGATGCAAAATATGCCACAAAGTTTGACCATTAAGAAGATTCTGGCAGACTCCATTTATGGATTGGGCGAAAGAAATTTCAGCCATTGCAATACCATATGGACTCTACCGCTAAAAAGTGATGCCATTTGATATGAAAAATTATCCCTTTACATTCAAGCACCTAATGAAACAGAGCATAGTAGATTCATTCATTTTCTCAGTGTAGTCACATGAAAGATGTCTGTTACTAACCTATGATTGAATGTGTAGTATTTACATGATGACCTAAAAATGTTGTATTGATCTGAGAACAACGTCTGGTTTTATCTGCCTGTTTAGCAGCTGACTGGTATGTCCCATACTAGTGGACAATATATCAACATGGTGGCAGCGGTGACCAATTAAGGACGCATTGATAATTCTGTAGTTTTAGAGGCAAAATGATTCTAGAAGTTACGCATTTTGCATCCTTTATCACTATGTCACGTATTACTGGTCCAGTGGCGAAAAACAGACGACGACAACATTGCCGACAGTTTTCTAAGCACATTCCGTTTACCGCCAATATTAAATGCAACCGATGGGAACGTTTCGGAAAACTTTAAGAATTGGAAAAGACAAGTACTGATTTATCTAACTGATAGTGGACAATACATACATACATACATACATACATACATACATACATACATACATACATACATACATACATACATACATACATACATACATACATACATACAACGCATGAAGAAAAGACGACGATGAAAATTGGCTTAATACCATAGAATCCAGTCAGAAAGGTAGAATTTCTGCATTAATGAATGTTAACAATTGTGAATTGCGTTTCCAATTAGACAGCGGCGCCGACAATAATACTATCTGCCAGAAGTACGTTCGTAAAGAACAAGTCAGGCCGACAACACTAATTTAAAAATGTGGAATAAGTCACACACGAAATCACTTGGGAAAGCTGATTTTAAAGTTGTCAACCCGAGCAATGGGGAAGAAACTATTGCTTCTCTAGTAGTTGTACCGAACGATTACATGACTTTCCTAGAATCTAGGACTATTCAGCAAATGGAATTGATTACTATTAACAGTGACAGATTTATTGCCATGGTCGAACTACGAAACAAGGTGATCTAGGGGAAACAACTCTTAGACAACGAAATTCCAGTGAAAGCTTCGCATTGCAGAAAGTTGCCACTCTCACTTCAAGAAGACGTGAAAAAGAAAAATAGATAAATTAGTCGAAAGAGAAGTTCTAATATATATATATATATATATATATATATATATATATATATATATATATATATATATATATATATATATATATATATATTACCGAATCGACTAAGTAGCTGTTGTACGAAAGCAGAATGGAAATTTGCGTATTTGCATAGATTCACA